GTTTATAAGTTACATTTGCTCCCCTGGAAGCACAGAATTTGAAAAGGCCTTTCTTTCACACCACTTAGTAACTGGTGTCTCTGAATAGGAACAGTTCCAGTGATGGAGGTCTCTCTAGACCATCTCTTCTGTTTTCAGTTGACTCTAAGTATAAGAAAATTCTTCCTTCCATTGAGTCAGAACTTGCTCATGTATAGCAGTAACACCTTACTTTTAGATCTACTGAGGTATGTTGATATTGTTAAGTGCCATTGAGTATGTTCCGACTCATAGCGACCCTCTATAAGGTTTCTGAGGAGCAGATGGTGAGTTTAAACCACCAACCTTGTGGTTCAAACCGACCTGGAAGTCGAGGTTGCTTACATTTTTCACTCTTACAAATAATGTGATAGAGAGCTTTATTAAAACATTTGTATTCCTATTTATTTCCTAAGATATTATTCTTGTTGTGTGCCATTGAGTAAGTTCTGTCTCAAAGCAACCCTGTAGGAGAGAGTACTGCCCCATAGAACTTCCCAGGCTATAATCTTTCAGGAGCAGCTCTTTTCTTCTGTGAAGTTGCTGCTGGGTTTGAACTGCCAACCTTTTGGTTAGCAGGCAAGCACCAGGGCTCCTTGGTCAGTGGTTGCCTTTTAAGCAGGGCGTGATGGAACCAAGTTTGTATATTTCAAAAACTGCACTGACAGCCACATGAAGGACGGGAAGAAGTGATCTGGAGACAGTAAGGAGTTAGTTGAGCAATTTAACAAAATACAAGGCATATGTAAAATTATTGGCCGCAAGATCAGAGAAAAGGGGAGTTGACAATGATTCTTAAACTGTAGTTTGTTTGTGCAAAGTTGGTGAAAGCTATAGGCATTTTTAATGTCTTAAATCTGCGTATATGGATGTCTAAGGTGGTTATTGTGGAGCATAGTGTTTCTGTACAATAAGCACTGGACTGCAAGCCCACCAGCTGCTCCACAGGAGAAAGATGAGGCTTTCTGCTCCTGAAAAGATTTGCAGCCTTGCATACTCTAGATAGTATAGGGTTGTTATGAGTTGGAACAGACTTGATGGCACTAATGACAACTAGGTGACAATTGACACAATGGCAGCAGTAATGGGCTCAAACATAACAATTGTGAGGATGGACAGAACCAGGCAGTACTTCATTCTATCCTACACAGGGTCACTCTGAGTTAAAAACAACTCAATAGCACCTAATAACAACAAAGTGGCTATAGTGGACTGGGAGGTTGGTGGTACCTTTCCCCAGGATACAGGGAGAGGAACAGATTTGAAGAGTTGGGTTGAGGATGCTATAAACTCAGTATTTAGTGTATGACCTTTAAGGATACCAGGTACAACTCTCAGAAAAGTCATTGATTATGAATTGAATAGCTTAGGAGAGAAGTTGAAGCAGGATATGAAGATAAGGGAGCCATCCTCACAAAAACAGAGGTGTTGAAACTCTGGACACAAAAGTTATCCCAGAGAGCAGAATGTTTGTGAGAAGATGGCTCCAAACATATCCCAGGAGAGTGTTTACCCCTAAGTAGGAAACAGGAAATCAGAGAAGAAGCTCAGTATGAAGAAATCCAAAGAAGAATGGTGTTGAGGAAGACAAGAGAGGCAAAAGCTTCAAGGAGAAAGTCGTCCATCACGCTGTCAGCTGATTCATAGGTCAAGCAAAGAGACTGGAGGGTGTTCATGGGAATGATTTCAGTCACCTGTAAATATGGGAGGAAAGGACTTAGAAGAAAGGTGGGGCTGGATGCAGATTATAGCACTTGGGTGAAGAGTAGACAGCGGTGGAAGAGTAGAGATTTCATGTAGTTTGTTGTGAAGGGCTATACTTCCAAACTGCATATGACTTTGATTACCTCTCCAACATTTGATATTTGCCATGCTCAAAATCCTTTTATTTGTGATTCTTTTTCTGGATGAGACAGACTTGTCCAAACTTGCAATGAAAACACTGCTTCTCAAGCTCCCAGCATCTTGCTTTAAGTTCTGTTTAGACACATGGAGACCTCCATGTTTGTTCATGTAGTCTCACTGGGTTTTACTAAGACTCTCTCGGTTTGTAAGTGTCAGCACACGAATATACAGAGTTATCATTTTTAAGTGACTGAATATGAATTGTATCCTTGAATTCTGACCGTTACCTAAAGATTGGTCAAAAATTATGTTTCAATGTTACAGTTTAGAGAATGTCTTTATTGTGTTGCCAAGTGTTGAATGGCAGAAAGCTTTAATTCTAACAAGCTCTAATTAGAAAGAGAGAAGAAAAATCAAAGAGTGATGTCAACCAGAATCAAAGTGAACCAGAACAAGAAATACTTTGATTGGTTACAGAACATCAACAATATGTGGGACAGTCTTATTCACTTGCTTTAATAACAATGAAAATACTGCAAGCTGTCTCTAGGGCTTTAGACAGTCAGCCATATTGAATACGTCATCACTTTGATACGTGGTTTTTGTTGGTGATGTGATATGATGTGATGTTCTTTGGGACTGCAAAAATTAAGATATGTTAAATGAGTCTTGGCTTTAAAAAACAGCAGTTTGGTAAATGTTTCTAAAGTAGAAAAAAGTATAGTCAGCGCCATGTATCCGCTGGCTGTTTGCTAACAGTGAACTAGCCTAATTTTGAGTATTATTTCTGCTAATGCAATCACTTACTGATGCTGATATCAAAAACAGAGTCATCATTTCTTGGGAAATCACTGTTCTAATTGACAGAAGGCAATCTGTGTAAATTAAAGCTAATAGAAAATCTATCCAAATATATAAACATATATATGTATGTGTATATACACTTATACACAGGATTATGCTTTATAAAGCACATGGTTATCTTTCTCTAATGAGATGAGATTTTACTCTGAAATTCTTAGAAATGTCTTCTCCTTTTCTTTGCTTCCTTGTGAAGTTAAATATTACATGTATTTTAACTCCCTCTGGATTTCTCTTCCATCCCATCCAATGTAAAACCCTTAATCCATTCTTTAAGTTTTTTTTTCATCATTATTGTCAACTTTCATGCCCACTTGACATTTCATTGAACCTAAGTCAGTCTGCCTTGTTGTTGTTGTTATGTGCTGTGGAGTCGGTTCCGACTCATAGCGACCCTACACAGGGTTTCTGAGGCTGTAAATCTTTACGGGAGCAGACCGCCTCATTTTTCTCCCGTGGAACCACTGGTAGTTTCGAACTGCTGACCTTAAGTCAATCTGCCTAGGTTCAGTCTAATCATTTGATATCTTTACTTCTGTACCATGGAGTAGATTTCAACTCCTGGTGGCCATCATGGATTGAATTGTGTGTCTCCCCCCTTCCCACCCCCCCCAATTAACTGTGGGTCAAGTTGGCTAGGTCATGATTTTCAGTGGTTGGCAGGTATGTAATGATGTAATCATCCCCCATGAGGTGATTTGATGTGCTCAACCAATCATCTGTGAGGGGATTAAGGTGGGACTCAGCACCTGACTAAAGTCGCAGCCCTCATCTGCTTTAAGGGGAGTTTCCTTGTGGTCTGATCTGCATCACCATTTCCAAAAGATGATGAGAGCCCAGAAGAGCAGGGGGAACCTGGCTACCACTGAGAACAAAGAGCTGGGAGCAGAGCATGTCCTCTGGACTCAGAGTCTCTGTGCTGAGAACCTCCTAGGCCCAGAGAAAGATTGATTCCAAAACACTTGGAAATTTTCAAGGGATACCGGGCCCACAGATGTGGAAAGGAAACAAGGACCTTTCCCTGAACCAATCTAGAGAAAGTCTTCCCAAGAGCTGAATTTGGACTTGTAGCCTCCTACACTGTGAGAGAATTAATGTGTTTGTTATAGCCGTCCACTTGTGGTGCTTCTGCTATATATAGTAACACTAGGTAGCGAAGGAGCTCTGGTAGCGTAGTGGTTACGAATCGGGCTGCGAACCTTAAGGTCAGCGGTTCGAAACTACCAGCCGCTCCGCGGGAGAAAGATGAGGCTTTCTACTCCCGTAAAGATTTACACCCTCGGAAACCCTGTACAGGGTCGCTATGGGTCGGAACTGACTCGACGGCACTTAACAACAACAACAAGGTAGCGAAGTCATGGCCCATCTGTGCTGGGGTGGGACTGCTCCGTAGGATTTTCAATGGCAGGTGTTTTAGAAGTTGGGTTTCCAGGCCTTTTTTCTGAGTCACCTCTGGGTGCACTTGAACCTCCAGCTGTTCAGTTAGCAGCCGAGTGTGGTTACCATTTGTACCAGCCAGAAACTCCTTGCCAATTGTAGTCTTTATAAACTCATGTTCTCCAGTTTAGTAAGGTCCTCTGGCAGGCGTAGTGATCCTTGTTTGTTCCTCTAAGCAGGTTCCCCCTCAGCGGCTCTTCTGTACTTTCACCCTGTCACCAAATTCCTCATTCTCAGGGGACCTGGACTCTCCTGTGTTACTGAGACCACTAGGCGAGAGCTCTGCAATGTCTCTTCCCACCCCCATCACTACCTACAGGTTTTTCCTCTCAACTTGATTACCTTTTGGTTGCTTTCCTATTTTTTCCCTTTGTCACCAGGCTGCTCAAAAGAGTGAGTTCTGCCCATTTGCTTGTCCTCCTGCCCTCTGGCTTCCATTGAAACCGCTAGTGACAAGGTTACCAGTAATCTAATTGATAGAGCCATTGGGATGTCTTCAGCCTGAATCTTCTTTGGCCTCTCAGGCATTTCAGTGTGATTGAGCACTACTTCTAGGCAATATCTTTGGTTTCTATGAAAACGTCTCTCTTTTGGCTTTTCTCCCATACTAGATTCTCATAAAATAAAATTTGCCATTGTTCCAAAAGAGCAAGGTTGGGGAGGAATAAAGCACTTAATGCTTTACAAAATTATATTTGGTGAAAATGCTTCTAATTGTGTATTAGTTATACTTTTTAAAGTATATTATGCTTTGATAACATAAATATATTATAATCCAGTATCTTACTATACCTCAAAAAAAGTATGTATTAATTGCTTCTTCTTTTCTTCTTTTCTAGCTAATGAAGGAGTTCCCTCTCCTGAGCATGTTCAACATCCATGAAAACCTTTTAGAAGCCCTCCTGGAACTACAGGCATATGCTGATGTTCAGGCAGTCTTAGCAAAGTATGATGGTAAGTCCTTGGGTCCTTTTATCTACTAGATTAGATCGGAACAATCATTTCAAATAACACAAAACTTTGATGATTATTCTCTTACAGCATTTTTCTCAAAAGTTTTATGGTGGTTAGAATCCTAGAATTATGTGGTTAGTGGGGGCCAGAGACGCCATATGGCCCATGCCCCACATGTCCACTCTCTGTCTCTCGCTCATTACCCCATGGTCACTTGGCCCATATGCAGGCAACACCCTGCTGGAACTGCACGGACTATTAGAGTGCTTGTTGACGTGCGGCCTCTCCTGTTAGCCATTGTCTTAGTTACCTACTACTCGTACAACAAAAATAGCACAAGTGAGCAGCTTTAAGGAACAGAAGTGTGTTTATTCCCCCAGGGGTCTGAAGGCGAGATGTTAGACTTAGGGTATCGGCTGTAGTAGGAAAAAAGTCCTTCTTTGTCTCTTTAAGCTTCTAGTGGTGATGGTGGTGGTGGTGGTTATGTGCTGTGGAGTCGGTTCCAACTTATAGTGACCCTGCAGAGGGTTTCCGAGGCTGTAAGTCTTTACGGGAGCAGAACACCTCATCTTTCTCCTGTGGAACAGCTGGTAGTTTGGAACTGCTGACCTTGAGGTCAGCAGCCTGACTCGTACCCACTGTTGTTGTTGTTGTTAAGTGCCGTCGAGTCGGTTCCGACCCATAGCGACCCTGTACAGGGTTCCCGAGGGTGTAAATCCTTACGGGAGTAGAAAGCCTCATCTTTCTCCCGCGGAGCGGCTGGTAGTTTCGAACCGCTGACCTTAAGGTTCGCAGCTCGATTCGTAACCACTACGCTACCAGAGCTCCTTGGTGTTCTTGGGCTTATTGATGCTTCCATGGTCTATGGTCACCTAGCAGCCATCTTCCCCAGGTGTCTGTGTCTGTTCTGCTCACTGAATACCACTCAGAAGGGACTAGACCCCACCCTACTCCAGGCCTGTCTTCATTAACATGACAAAAGACGCCCCTCTTTCCAGCAGGGCCACATTTTCAGGTAATAAAGTGAAGGCTTCACATAACGGTTTGGGGGACACAGTTAGCTCATGAGTCTTGTTGATCCTTTGGAGCAGATGAGCTAGATAGAAACCATTGCTCACATGAGAACCCAGAAAATAGTAGCTGATAAGATTGTGTTCCCTCACCCCTAGTCTTCTCCTCATCCTTCGTCACATGGTGGGCTTTGAAGTCTCTTTGTCCTTCTGGTCACTTGCCCCTGAAATCATTCCATTTACCTGTTTCTAGAAAACCAGAAAAATTAATCAGCACTTCCTAGGTATTTAAAAGCTCCTCTGCTGACATTGCCATTATCTGTAACTATTCAATGTGATTAATGATGTGGAATTGATCTGCCTCAATGCCTACCAGGACTTAACTACTAGTCATGTGTTCTGCCCTATTTCAATAACCCTTTCACCACAAATATGTGTATATTTGTTCACAAATGGATTTGTTGTTAAGTGCTGTGGAGTCAGTTCAGATTTATAGCAACCCTGTATTGGGTTTCCAAGGAGGGGCTGGTGGGTTTGAACCACTGATATTGCAGTTAGCAGTCCAGTGCTTATCCTATAGTGCCACACCAAAACTCATAAAATGGACGTTAAGGTACAATTACTTGTATTACATTCCTTGCTTTATAATAATACATTCTTTCTTTAGTAACTTTCTTCAGTGGTTTTAAATAATTATTCAGTTCACAAATTTCTAGGAATTGGTCAGTCATAGAGAGCAGACTCTACCATTTGGAGTCTATTTTTGACACACGTTCTTCATAAAGAATTTCTGAAATGAGTTGGAGTAGTTTACTCTTTGTAGTTAAAGCAACTAAGGCATTGTGAGGCTGTTTTTCCTTTGGTTTGGTTTTAATTCTTGTTCAGATTGATAGAAACTAAAAGCCCTCAGCCAATGATGGTACCACTTTGCTTCTGCAGACACGAGCATCCTGTGAAACCAGATACATGCTACCTAGTATGGAACTCATTTTAGAAAGAGAGAAAAGCATTTATGGTGCATTTTAAAGTAAACAAAATACAGGCTGTTTGGCCTTCACATCAGCTTACTTTTATTCTCTGTTTATGCGCTGGAGTCTTACTATGTGACTGACCATGGGGGCCAAGCTGTGGAACGATGATGTAGGCAAATGCTCATGAATTGAGGTTCTTTTGAAACAAATGCAACCAGGCTCAGACACATGGGCACATTTTTCCAAATGTCACCCTACAGCCATCAAAGCCATAGCAAAGTTCCAGTGTTCCTATCCCCACTGCTGTCCTGTGTTCCTGTATCAAGGCTTAAGAAATCAAGGATTAACCAATAGCACCTTTGGGATCACAAGTCCCATGAGGCTGCTTTCATGAGGATCTCAGTTCATTACAAAAATCATCAGCCTCGTGTCATAAGACTGATTGTAAAATAAAGAAATGAACTCATATGGAGATTTCTGCTGTTTCTCTCTCTCCCGCTGCACAGCCTCAGCCCTACAATAACCAACAGCTGATTTATTAGATTCTGATAACATATGTTCACATTATTTGTTACAACAGTCTGTCCCACCCTCCACTAAAACTTGGCTCGCACTTTGAAAAATTCCTTTGTTGCAAATGGACAAATTCCCCATACCAAGGCTCTTGTGTTAAGCTTTGTTTATGTTGTGTACCTGGCAACAGAGATGATGTTCTTGTTCATTATTCATGGAAAAAGAGCCTCATTAGTGGCAGGACACAGACTGTTGCTGAGATACTTCGTTATGGGTTTTCAGTTCAGCAGTTGTCAATAGAGTGCAGATGACCTAACCCCAACTTAATTCCAGAGGGAATGTTGGTGCTGACTTGGCACAGGCCTGTGTCATTTACAGTAGAAATGTAATGAAGTGACTGCTGAAGGGACTGTTCTTAAGGGGAGAGCCGCAGCCACTCAAGGTTGTTGAAAAACCTATCTCTTATTCCTCACCTCATACCATGAAATGAGTTCTTTCAAGTTCATCCCTATTTCCTTTCCTGGAGACCAGAAGGACCCGACAGAGCTGCTAAGCTCCCTCATCCTGTGTGAGTAAGTGGGTGCTGTACAGCTCACAGCAGAGACAGCTCTGAGGAGCGCCCTATTCTTCACCCCAGTTAAGATGTCATCATTCTAATCCATGAGATGCTGGAGACAGTCCTTTGACTTCCAGCCTCTCCATCCCTTCCCACAGAGCCACACCCAGAGCAGCAGGATTATATGTTATCTCTGCAAATTGGAATGCTCTAGTTGGGTAGATGTTTCTTGGATGGTTTATGGGTACAGAAATCCTATTTTATTACATTAGCTAGGTGGCTGGAGTTTTAATGTACTGTGTTGGGAAGTGACGCAACAAAGATGACTGCTGCTTTTTGACCTTTGCAAAAAAGTTTCGTTTTGTTTTTTGTTTTTTTGTGTGTTTTTTTTAATGGCAAGGCGCAGGGTAGGGGGTAGGGAAAGAGCATTTCTAGAGGAGAGAGGAAAGGAAGATCAATGTCTCTTGCCTTTTTCTTCAACTTTTTTGCTTTGAATTTTCAAGGAAATCAGTGATAGTCACCCTCTTCTTCTTATGACCAAGCACTCTGGAAACCCTAGCTCGTGACTCGGATTACCAGTTAACTGGTCACACCTCCTTGTAATCTGCAGTCTAATTCTGATTTTGCCCTTGAGGTAGCTGCTCACGTTTTATGATTTCAGCTTTTAGTTTGAAATGCTGTCCTGCGATCTCAGGAGTTTTCATACTCTTTCTGTTTGTGATTTGTTAGCCAGCATCATGGGTGGGCAGAGTTTTGATCCAGGTGGTTGGTCCTCGTTCTTCAGTATTCTTCAAACAGTGACAAAAACAACACCAGCAGCACCACCACCACCACCAACAACAACAACTAGCATTTCTTGAATTCTTACTGTATGTCAGATATGATTCTGATCTTTACCTAAATGAGCTCATTTATCCTCACAAGTATATGTAAAATGTTTAATTTTCTCCCTTTTACAGCTGGTGCAGCGAGAAGCTGAGTAATTTGCTCAATTGAACAGCCTGAAATGTCATAGTAAAGCCATACAGATGTTATGTTACTGAGAAAAAAGAGACTGAGAAAAATCTTTGTTTTATATGATGTAAATTTTACAAGGAAAAGAAAGCCAATATAAACCAAGATAGTCTGACTTGAGGAGGCCCAGGCTCTTAACCATTACACACTATTTCTGCGGTTGACAGCATAAAAATATTGTTTTTGTTAATACTATTCTTATTATTGTTGATGCTATTATTAGCTACAATTTGTTAAGAACCTCCTATGAGCCAAGCACATAATGCATATCACCTACAGCCTTCACAGTAACCCTGAAAGATAGTTATCCCATTTTAGAAGGAGCAGAAACTGAGGCTTTACAGATCTAAATAACTTGCAAGACCACCTTCCTAGAAAACTGCAGAGCTGGGGGATTCAAGTTCAGGTACAGCCAGCTCTAAAGCCCACATGTGTCCTATAAACATAAGCCTAGCTAAAGTAACTCTCTGACTCCCCTTCTAAGCATGGATCAGGCAGATAGCAACAGTTGTGCAGAATTTGAGAAATGTCAAATTGTCACTTGAGATTCCTTTTTAGTCGTTCTTTATAAACTAGGACTATCTGTATTACTTGTATCTCTGAAACTGTCTTCAGATATGACTTTCCATCTTCAGTCACCGTGTACCTGATCTCTTTAGTCACAAAGACAATTTGATGTACCATAGTTCATTTAAATTGGGCTTTTTCACGTTAGTCAAATGTTTGCTTTGAAAACAGAAATGTTAGCAAGACCATTAAGTCATCAGAACTTTCCTGATGAAGCCTTTTAAAAATTGTTATAGGCATTGGCTTGCCTTTAACCCTTTCATTACCTACTGAGTTTCTCCTTTGCATTTTTTTTTTTTAAATACCATATGATTTCAGTAATGGAAAGCACGTTGATATCAAGGGAAAAAAGGTGGGTGTTTTGAGGTA